TTACTCTCCAGCACCTCTCCCTTTCCTGGAAGATTAAGCGGTGGGGTTAAAAGTTCCAAGCTCCCAATCATGGCTTGGTCTTTCTGGTGATCAGCTCCCATTTTAAAGCTCTCCAGGAACCCATCATGAGTCACCTCATCACAACAAAAGATGCTTTATCACCCAAATTCCATGGGATTTGGAACCAGATCTGGGATCAAAGACCAAAAACATAGACACTCATAGCTCCCTTAAGAAATTATGTGTTTAGCTCTGTGTCAGGAACCAGAGATGATGACCAAATAGGTATTTCTTATTACACAGAAGTATCACATGAAGTGAGGTAGTAATTTTTTAAAGAAAGATTTATGTATTTATTTAGAAGGCAGAGGTGGTGGTGGGGAGATCTTCCATCCACTGGTTCACTCACCAAATGGCTGCATCAGCCAGGGCTGGGCCAGGCCACAGTCAGGAATTCAGAACTCCATTTTCTGCTGCCTTCCCAGGTATATTAACAGGGAGCTGGACAAGAAGTGGAGCAGCCAGGGCCCAAAATAGCACTCATGGGATGCCAGCATTGCAGGCAGTGACTTAACACAGCTGTGCCACAACACTGGCCCCCAGATGTAATAATTTAAAATAATCATGTATACAATCAGAATAAATGGAAACATGTATCTTGTATTTGAATAAGATGCCAAAATTCAGAGATGCTGATTTTTCCTAAATTAGTCTTTAAGGGTAATAAGGTAGCTATGGCTTGGATGTAGTTTCTTTCCCCAGGCTTCATGTGCTGGAGGCTTGGTCCCCTGTGTGGTTGTGTTTACAGGTGGTGGAACTTATGAGAGGTAGGGCTTAGTGGAAGTGAATTTGATCATGGGGACATCATCATCAGAAGAGACCAAGGTAGCTGTTATCATAAGGCCCCTAGTTAGTTCTTGTGATAATGAGTTGTTATATTTGTATTTTGTATTTTTTAAAATATTTATTTATTTGAAAGGCAGATTTAGAGAGAGAGATCTTCCATCTGCTAGTTTACTTCCCAAATTGCTGCAGCTGAGTCGGGCCGAAGCCAGGAGCCTGAAACTCCATCCAGGTCTCCCACATGAGTGTCAGGGATCTAAATACTTGGGCCACCTTTCGCTGCTTTCCCAGGCACATTAGCAGGGAATTGGATTGGAAGTGGAACAGCCAGGTGCTCATATGGGGTGCTGGCATCGCAGGCAGCAGCTTAACCTGCTGCACCACTACACTGGCCCCAAGTGAGTTGTTATAACAAAAGTTTGCCTGGTCCCTGAATCTTTCTCCCTCTGTCTTGCCACATGATCACTCTCATATGCGCTGCTGATGCCATCTGTCCTAAGAACCTCATCAGAACTGAGCAGATGCAGGTACCATGCTCTTGGACTTCCAGAACTGTGAGCTAAATAAATCTCTTTGTGAGAAATTACCCAGCCTCAGGTACTTTGTTAAAGCAACAGAAAACAGATTGAGACAATATTCTCAATATATTAAATATATCAACAGAATGTTTTTTTTAGACTATGCCAGCTGCTTCCAAAATTCATAAGGAAAAATAAACATGAATAGCAAAAAAAATTATGTAAAAAGAGAACAAGGGGGAAATAGCTACACTAGTCAATAAAATATGAAGCTATGATAACCAAGCCATTTGAGTTACAGAATATATCATCCAGGGGTCGGTGTGGTGACATAGCAGGTTGAGCTGCTGCCTATAACACTGACATATCATATATTAGAATGCCAATTCTAGTCCTGGCTACTCTGCTTCTGATCAAGCTTCTTGCTAATGTACCTGGGAAGGCAGTGGAAGATGGTCCAAGTACCTGGGGCCTTGCCATCCATGTGGGGGACCAGGATGGAGTTCTTGGTTCCTTCCCTCAGCCTGGCCAGCCCTGGCTGTCTGGACCATTTGGGGAGTGAACCAGTAGATAGATCTCTTCCTCTCTGTCTCTTCCTCTTTCTCTGCCTTTAAAATAAATACATACATACAAACATACATAAAAACTCTTAAAACATATAGCATCCAGAAATAACCTAAAAACATAAAGTAAAACTGCACTGTAAATCAACAGAGAAATGGTAGGTTATTCAAAATTGCAGTACAGAGTAACCCCCACTGGAAAAAATAAATTCAAGTTATTACTTTACAAGTCATATTAATTCCAGACATGCAATGGCTTAAATACAGTAGTGAACTGTAAAAGTATTAGAGGAAACGTGTAGACTTTTCATTTGGTTGTTTGTTTTCAATCTGGGATACAAAAACCTTTTTTTGACATGGGGAATAAACACTCACAGCTCATCTAGACACAAGTTCTATGGTGTTAGGAAAGTAGCAAACTGTCTTCCTGATATGCTGCCTATCAGGACACATAGAGGCAGCAGGCAGAGGGCTGAGAACCCAGGACTTGTTAGGGAAGTGGCATCCTCAGCAAATGAAAGCAGCAGAAGCACAAGTTTGTGTTTCAGCCTGTAATTCTTAATTAGCTCTGGGCTGGTGGCTCCCAGAAGAGTTATTAACACAAGGGCTTCTAGAAATTTTTCAAAAGAGCAGTGACAACCTTCTGTTTCTGGCTTCTCTTTGTACTGGTTTTTTCACTACATTAGTACACATAAAAGCCATTAAAAGGAGGAAACTAAATTACTAAGTACTAGGTACCTACTAAAAACAAACTGCCCCTAAAAGGTCTGAAGAGCATTCAAGAGAAACAGCTACTGAGGTCTGAGGAGTGTCCAGAAAGAGCTATCAATCTTTTCCAACCGGTCAACTTGACTTGGGTGTGAAAACAGGGACAATAAAAGATTCTTCATTCCTTGCTTAATAACCCTTAGCTGCCTAACATACTAATAGCCCATAATAGTCATCTGCCTGCTTGTTGCATATAACTTGCTATCCCATAATAGTTTTCTTAGCTAAAACAACAAAATTGCTGACCTGTCCTTTTAGGGTGCCTTATAAAATCAGACAGATCTGACTGCAGCTGGGGTTCCTTCCTTGTTATACCCTTAGCACCTAGAGTGGTGCCAGGGACAAAATGGTGCTTGGTGGATTGGGTGGGATGAATGAAAAAAATGGACAAAAATGGACTTGCTGATATCACCCCTTCCACCACACACAGGGCATGTAATCTCTCCCCTGAAGAAAGGTTCTTGGTCAGACCTACCTGGAACTATACAGTTGAGGGCTTACGTTACCCTACACCACTGGAATGAAGTCAAGGACCTGTCTTATTTATTGGAGGATCATCATGCCTTATTTTGCACAATGCTTTTCACATGGGGGACTCTTTCAAAGTACTTTGGGTTGCAACAAAATGCACAATGTCAGCTTCACCTGGGTCACTGGTTGGGCAGGCTGAGCCCAGTGCAGGCAGCAGTTAGGTCCATCTCACCTCCAGATGCCCAGTGCCTTGTCCACAGTAGGTGCTTAATAAATACCCAGTGATAAACTTGTCCATACCCACGTTTATTCATTCTCAACCCATTGTGACACACCTTCCCTCTCTAACATAAGCCTATCACAAATTGTCCAAGGACATGTAAGTGCTTTAATAACCAACATAGCAGAATTACTTCAAAATTCTCAACTTCCACAGAAGGGCAGGTAAAATGGTCTCTGGGATTCATATGTAAGATTTCTCAGAGAACTCTCACACTCAATTAGGGCCAACACAAAAATCCCTATACCAAATTTAATCAGAATTTCTGGAGGTGGGAGGTAAGCAATATTTTATTTATTTATTAATTTATTTTTTACTTCTTAGCATACAGTGCAGATTGAAGTCTATTGTAAGCTGCACCACAGAAATCTGCTGTAAACAAATTCAATGCTGGGTTTTATGAAGAACACAATACTGAAGGCCCTTAGAATATGATGGATTCTCTGGGGACCCCTATAATGTTCACTTGCCACACTTTTCCTGATTCTACCTTTTGAGCAGGGCAGGTGCACCAGCAGGGTCTGCAGCTCTGCTATGGTTTGCATGAATGATGTCAAGGCTGCCACTGGTTGCCAGACAAAACTGGGACACAGGTTTTCTAGCTTTGTTGCTCTGCTGACATGTGGCAACCTCAGACAAATCAGTCCTTCTCTGAGGGACTCAGTTTCCTCAACTACAAAACAAGACTGCTCTATGTTTTATAGCTCAAAAGTTTCACAATTCCAATTAAAAGAGGTTCATAACTGAAAAAATGTTTTAAAATATTCCCATGTGTGGCAAGAATAGAATTATATTTCAGGGGGCCGGCACTGTTGTGCAGCGGGTTAACACCTTGGCCTGTAGTGCTGGCATCCCATATGGACACCGGTTCAAGTCCCAGCTGCTCCACTTCTGATCCAGCTCTCTGCTATGGCCTGGGATAGCAGTAGAAGATGGCCCAAGTGCTTGGGCCCCTGCATCCGTGTGGGAGATCTGGAAGAAGCTCCTGGCTTCAGATCGACACAGCTCTGGCCATTGCGGCCAATTGGGGAGTGAACCAGTGGATGGAAGACCTCTTTCTCTCTCTCTCTCTCTGCCTCTCCTCTCTCTGTGTAACTCGAACTTTCAAGCAAAATAAATAAATCTAAAAAAAAAAAAAAAAAAGAATTGTATTTCATGCTGGGAGATGTATTCAGGTGGCTCTTTTGTTTGCTGCCCAGTGGACTTCATCTACCATCTACCATTTGATGGGGAAACATTTACTTCCTATTTTTTTCGTGGTGTGTGCTAAGTGAGTTATCCTAACTTGTATTTCACTGATTAGAAAATAATTTCTGGGTAATGATGAAGCATCTCTAAAGAACTGTCCAACCTTCTTCACCTAACAGAGTATTACAACAGATCTCTTATGTCTGAATTCTATTTGGATTCTTGTCATACAAGCAAAATAGCTGTCTGAGGTTGTGTGATTTATTCTTTTAAAAACAGGGACAGTGATTTTAAGCAGTACCTGTTTATTAATCTATCTTTTAGTGTGAGCAAGAGGCAATTTTATGTAAGACAAATGGTAAGCTAGCATCACAACAGAAGTCAATAATTTATTCTTGAAAGCTTTTCTAAAATTCACTCTGTGAAGAATAATAATAGTTAACATTTTATGCTGATTATATGCCAGGCACTGTTCTAACTGAATACATTATTAACTCATTTGATCTTCACAACTGCCTTCCTGTGAGGATACAGCCGCAGCATCATCCCTCTTTTACAGAGAGGAGACTGAAATCAAGTAATTTGTCTGAGGACACGTTGCCAAGACTTAACCACTGCACTGAATGCCTTGAGAAAGTTCATAAATAATTTTGTAGTTGAATAGACTAATAACCAATTATAAATTTTTTCAGAACTACTCAGATTATTTTACAAGCCTTTACCAAGCCTACCACTGTGCTAGGCTAACCTTTCCAAAAATAGATTCAAGGTCTTTCAAGATGATCCTTGATAAAAGGTTATAGGACCATTAAGTATGGAAGATGCTATAAAAATACAAGCTTCCTTTGGGAGAGCTACAATTATATCAAAAGTTCTGAAAAGTCTCACAGGAAAGATATCCTTTAATCCTGTTTAACTCAGCCTTTCTCACTATATTTACTCTAGAAATTCTCTCTCCCTGCTCCAACCCTTACCTTTTCACATAACACTGATTAACATCAATGTAAGAATTACTACATCAGGGGTCAGCACTGTGGTGCAGCAGGTTAAGCCTCTGCTTGTGACATTGGCATCTCATATTAGAGTGTTTGTTTTGAGACCTGGGTACTCCACTTCCAGCTTCCTGCTAATGCACCTGGGAAGGCAGGGGATGATGGACAAGGTACTTGGGCCTCTGCTACCTATGTGGGAGACCCAGATGGAAGTTCATGGCTCCTGAATGGCCTGGCCCAGCCCCAGCCATTGCAACCATTCAGGGAATGAACCATCAGATGCAAGACCTCTTTCTCTCTGTCTCTCTCTCCACCTCAAATAAATAAAACTCAATCTTAAAAAAAAGAAGAAGCTATTGCATCAGATATGTAAAGCATACAATAAGCATGTCTTTTGAAGCCTAAGAAATTATAAACACGATGCTTATTCTCTGGTAAGCATTGTGTTGATGCTTCCAATTTTAGAGGCTCTTTCTTTCTTCCTCTCTCTGTTGCTCTGTGTTATATATTAATGTTAGCCGTCGCAAAACACACCGAACACCGGAGTAAGGGAAAGGGTTTATTGGGGAACACCCTACAGACTGGAGTGAAGGGGCGGTGAAGGAAAAAGAGAGGAAGAGAGTATAAGAGAGAAACACAGAGGAGAGGAGCTAGCAAAGAGAAAAGATAAAGCAGAGGAGAGAGGAGAGCAGAGCCAAGAGAGAAGAACCGAGAGCCAAGAGAGCACGTGTTCAGGAACAGGCCCTTTTAAAACTTCGCCTGAGGGCGGGCAGGAAAGCAGGAGCAGCGAATCCCATTAGGATGGGGGTGGAGCCTGGCTCAGGTAGCTGGGCCATGCGGCCACCTGGCTACAACTGCACCAGTTTCCTAACGCTCTGCCTTTCAAATAAATAAATATGTCATTTTTTAAAAAGAAAAGAAAGGCAGAGAGACAGACACAGAGAGATCTTCTATTCCCTGGTTCACTTCCCAAATGCCTGTAACAGCCAGGTCTGTGCCAGGCACTCCATCATCATCTCCCACATGGGTACCAAGGACCCAAGAACTTGGGTCATCTGCTGCTGCCTTCCTAGGCACATTAAGCAGGGAGCTGGATCAGAAGCAGAGCAGGTGGGACTTGAACCAGCACTCTGATACGAGATGCTGGTGTTGCACGTCATGATTTAACTCACTACAGCACAACGTCAGTCCCTTGTGTCTATCTCTTTTATAGGGTCCTCCAGAATGCTGTCGACTAAAGTCTAAGCACTCCTGACGTGTCTTATAGCCAGGATCTTGTCACCTGGACAAATAACCGGGAACTTTATGTAAAATTCAGGAATGCTTCCCAAATGCTAAATGCTTGGTGAGAAATTGTCATCTTCTATGGAGAATATAGAAGGCAGCCCATACTGAATATGTAACAAGCCCTCTTATGTGGCCCAGAAACTTAAAATATAAATGCATTCCGGTCCACTCTTAAGATTAAGAGACTCAAGGCTGTCATATTGTGCTTCCTTCTTAAACTTTATCCTCAGGTGAAATCAAGGATATCTTCAAAAGTAATCAGGGAGTCTGAGAAGTTGCAAAGATCGGAAGACAATTGTGTCTACTTTGTCATGGGACTCAGTGAACTAGCAGATGGAAGATCTCCTTCCCTGTCTCTCTCCCCTTCAAATAAATAAAACTCAATGTTAAAAAAATAAAAAAGGAAGTTAGTGCATAAGACATGGAAAGCATACAATAAGCATGGCTTTTGAAGCCTAAGAAATTATAAGCATGATGCTTATTCTCTGGTAAGTACTGTGTTAATGCTTCTAAAATGGCTCATATCAAGGGAGTTACTTACAAAGGGAAAGCTACTTAGTGGTAGAAAAGGGAGAGTTCTTGAGATCATCCAGTCCAAAGGCTCACAACTGTTATCCCAGCTCAGTGTTGGGACCCCCTTTGGGGGCAATTCTCAAACAAAGGGAGGAAGGCAGAAATGTTTTGTTTGAAAAAGCCCCTCCACCGCCCCGAGGAACTTGGAAGACAGGTCTGCAGCCTCCTTAAAGACTGACCAAATACCAAAGCTGCAATGTTGGCCAGTAAAGTCCCGAGGTGAGAGAGGTGGAGACTGCCTGAGTGTTAGGAATGAACATCACCATGACTGAACCTAAACTGAGCGGCTGTGAGTCCCTGCCCTTTCCTCTACTTCCACACTCTTGTATGGCAAAGGCTGGCAAGTTTGGGATTCTCCTTTCCCCAATCTCCCATTCACAATCTAGGCACGAGGACACCTCACTCCTAGATCTGGTAATTGCTCCACATCATTCTTTGGATACTAAACTCTGAGAAAACTAGTAATGGGCATCCTGAGCACGTACATGAAATGTCTGAGTAGTCTGGAGGCCAACTGGTTTACCCTGGACACAACTGCACACACACACAATTGCTCTGGTTTTAGCAATGGCTGGCAAGGATGAAGTGTAGTTTTTACAAAGCCCTTACTGGCATTAGCGTGGCACAGTGAGTTAAGCTGCCACTTACAATAACGGCATCCCTTATCAGAATGTGGGTTCAAGTCCCAGCTACTCTGCTTCTGAACCAGCTTCCTGCTAACATGCCTGGGAGGACAGCAAAGGTGATTCAAGTAGTTGGGTCCCTGCCACTCAAGGGGAGACCTGGATGAAGTTCCTGGTCCCTGACTGACCCAGCTATAACTACTGTGGTCATTTAGGGAGTGCACCAGTGGATGGAAGATATATTTTTGTCACTCTGCTTTTCAAATAAATAAACACATACATACATGGTTTTTTAAAAATATTTTTTATTTTATTTATTTGAAAGACAGTTACAGAGAGAGGTAGAGATAGAGAGGTCCTCCATCTGCTGGTTCACTCCCCAGATGGCCACAACGGCTGGAGCTGCGCCTATCCAAAGCCAGGAGCCAGGAGCCTCCTCCAGGTCTCCCACGTGGATGCAGGGACTCACGGTCTTGGGCCATCCTCCACTGCTTTCCCAGGCCGCAGTAGAGAGCTGATCGGAAGAGAGCAGCCAGGACTAGAGCCAACGCCCATATGAGATGCTGGCGCTGCAGGCCAGGGCTTTAACCCACTGCGCCACAGTGCCGGCCCCACATGTACATACATCTTTAAAAAATAAAAAACTTCTTACTATTTCTACAGCACTGTGTTCACCTGAGAGCCTGGTAACAAGTGTGCAATGTCACCAGTCCATCCTGATAATGAGCTGTCAGCAACTCAACAGCTTAGACACATGGGAACCGAGAAATCCATGTGCAGTTGTGTAACTCACTGAATTCTCAATGGCAGTTTTGCCAAATTCTTTGGTTTCATTTTGGGACTAACCAGAGTAAGGCTTCCAGGAAATTGATACTGATGGTCCTAGGAAATAAAATTGAGGCCTAGTGAAAGTACCTTGGGAGGTCAGTTGTCTTGAGGTACCATGGAAACAAACCTGCAGGCAAGAATATCTCAAGTCTGATTTCTAAAAATATGCTTGTTAATGTTAACTTTACCTAACTTCATTTTATTCAGAAAATTTATTTGTTTGAGAGGCAAAAGGAAAGACAGAGGGCTTCCATCTGCTGATTTATTCCCCAAATGTCCACAATGACCCAGGATGGGCCAGGCCAAAGCTGAGGGCCAGGAACTCAATCCATGTCTCCCATGTGAGTGTCAGGGACCCAATTACTTGAGCCACCACTGCTGCCTCCTAGGATCTGCATTAGCAGGAGGATGGAGTCAGCAGTTGGGAATAGAACCCAAGCTCTGCTGCAGGACACAAGCTTCTTAACCAAGAGACTAAATATGAGACTAAATGTCTGCTCCCTTCACCTAATTTTAAATAAGCAAGCTGTTTTAACTTAAAGTAACAACTTAGCATACCCTGAGCACCCAACTCTTCCTAAAGAGAGTATGTTGGTTAAATACAGATGTGTCATAATTTACTATAAAACATAGTGGCTTAAACAACAAATATGTACTATTTCACAGTTTCTGTGGGTTAGAAATTTGGGAGTGGCTTGGCTGGTTGTTGTGGGTCAGGCTGGGACTGCAGTCACCTGAAAGCTGACTGAGTCTGGAGGATGCACTTCCAAGATGGCTCCTTCATGTGGCTTCTGGCAGGAGAACAGATCTTCACCTTTAGGTCCCCTCCATGAGGCTGTGTGAGCAGACTCAACCTCATGGCAGCTGGCTTTCCCCAGGTGAATGGCCCGAAGACAGCAAGGAGGGAGCAATGCCTTTTATTACCTAGTCTTGGAAGTGACTCACTATCTATTCTACTTGTTGGAACGCAGTCACCAAATTCAGCCTGAAATCAAACCAGGGGAGAGAAAGGAAGGGAAATATAGCTCCAGGTTTTAAAGAGACACAAGTCAAAAAAACCCTGTGAGTAAATTTAAAACCACCGCAGACAGTGAAGCAGCATTTCCTTATCTGTTAACAATAATTTATCACTGTTCACCGAACCTTCATTATTTTCTTTCTTTCTTTCCTTCCTTTTTTTTTTTTTTTTTTTTTTTCAGGAAGAGTTAGACAATGAGAGAGAGAGAGAGAGACAAAGAGAAAGGTCTTCCTTTTTCTGTTGGTTCAACCCCCAAGTGGCCGCTACGGCCTGTGCGCTGCGCCATTCCGAAGCCAGGAGCCAGGTGCTTCCTCCTGGTCTCCCATGGAGTGCAGGGCCCAAGCACCTGGGTCACCCTCCGCTGCACTCCCAGGCCACAGCAGAGAGCTGGGCTGGAAGAGGAGCAACCAGGACAGAATCCGGTGCCCCAATCAGGACTATAACCTGGGGTACTGGCGCCACAGGCAGAGGATTAGCCTAGTGAGCCGTGGTGCCGGCCTCATTATTTTCAACTAAATGTTTTTTAAACCAGCATGTTAGAGTAAGTATCCAACCAGAGAATTAACATATACTAATTTCTATTAGATGCCACTTGTAAGTTACCTAAACTTCAACTTACTAATAACAATAATCCCCCCTTACCACTCCAAAAAAGTCCCAAACATTTCTTCTTAGGTAGGAGAGTCTAATGGCAATTTATGAAGGAATAAAACAGTAATCACTGTTCCAAGTATATTTCTTTTTTCCAAATATCTATTAAGATTCATTTTTTTCCTAGATAGTAGTCAATTCATGGTAAAATACTTCTAGTGCATTTTGACTTAGGGAATACTCATTTATAATCAGTCTAAAAACTACACCAGTCCTCAATACAGGCCATCCTATAACTGTTTCCATCTAGTGGATGAAAATGGTACCAGCAGTATTTGAAAAATGACATAAAATCTACTTCATAAGCTTACACACTTCTAACATTTTATAATTATCACATACTTGAAATATATGAGTACCTTCCAATAGAACAAACTGTACACAAGTTCTTTCGTTACATAAAGCAAACAATCTTTGTTTCCTACATGTAACTTTTCATACATACTGCTACATCTGGAATTCTCTAGGCCAATAACTTAGAATACTGCTGTGAACCAGAAAATGAGCCAAAAAATCTCCAGGTAGTCAACAGATGTCACCTGTTCACACACTGAAACCTTGTAGGTCAGCAAGTGGGAGAGCCAGAGAATAGCTGGGTGTCTGGCACATGGAACCTTGTAAGAATCTGTTTAAAGAAGCAATGAAGCTCCTGCATTTTAATTCAAAGGAGAGTCAATCCCAGAACCTAGTTCCTCTTTTCTACTTTTTTACTAGTCCCAGAAACATCTCCATCTCAATTTCAATCTTATGGCAGATCCTAAGGGGCAAGAAGAAGTACTGGGCTCACAAAAATTCATTTTTGTCAAATTGTTAAGATTGACAGTAGGTAGCCAACAAGAAATGTTGGAAAAGAGGCAAAAGGAAGCCCCATTATTCTTGGATCCAGTAAGTCTGGGAACAAGCAATACAGTACAACTTGAGTTTTTTTTTTTTGTTTTTTTTTGTTTTTTTTTTTGTTTTTGTTTTTTGTTTTTTTTTTAACAGGCAGAGTGGACAGTGAGAGAGAGAGAGACAGAGAGAAAGGTCTTCCTTTGCCGTTGGTTCACCTTCCAATGGCGGCCACGGCCGGCGCATCGCGCTGATCCGAAGCAGGGAGCCAGGTGCTTCTCCTGGTCTCCCATGGGGTGCAGGGCCCAAGCACCTGGGCCATCCTCCACTGCACTCCCGGGCCATAGCAGAGAGCTGGCCTGGAAGAGGGGCAACCGGGACAGAATCCAGCGCCCTGACCGGGACTAGAACCCGGTGTGCCGGCGCCGCAAGGCGGAGGATTAGCCTAGTGAGCCGCGGCGCCGACCATACAACTTGAGTTTTAAAACTGTGGGGTTATCAAGAAACTGTTTTTTTTATATGCCATTTAAAATGTAACATATTTTGGGGCACAGGTACTGTGGTGCAGTGGGTTGAACTGCTGCTTGTAACACCAGCATTCCATGTAGGAGTGCCAGTTTGAGTCCTGGCTGCTTGGCTTCTGATCCAGCTTCTTGCTAATGCTCCTGATAAGGTAGCACAAGACAGTCCAATTGCTTGGGCCCCTGCCACCCATGTGGGAGACTAGGATGGAGTTACTGGCTCCTGGCTTTGGCCTGGCCCAGCCCTGGCTATTGTAGACATTTGGGGAGTGAACCAGAAAACAGAAGACGGATCTCTCTCTCTCTCCTACTCTGTCATAATGCTGCCTTTCAAAAAAAAAAAAAAATGTAATCATTTTAGAAAGATTTTTTGACTAGACTTTTAAAATTCTGTTGCTTAAAAGAATGATCTCTTGGCCGGTGCCGCGGCTCACTAGGCTAATCCTCCACCTGCGGCGGCGGTGGCACCCCAGGTTCTAGTCCCGGTCAAGGTGCTGGATTCTGTCCCGGTTGCCCCTCTTCCAGGCCAGCTCTCTGCTGTGGCCCAGGAGTGCAGTGGAGGATGGCCCAAGTACTTGGGCCCTATACCCACATGGGAGACCAGGAGAAGTACCTGGCTCCTGGCTTCGGATCAGCGTGGCGTGCTGGCCGCAGCAGCCATTAGAGGGTGAACCAATGGTAAAGGAAGACCTTTCTCTCTGTCTCTCTCTCACTGTCCACTCTGCCTGTAAAAAAAAAAAAAAAGAATGACCTCTTACCATGTAAAAACAATGAGTTTCCAGTTTGTTCTGAACAATTAAAGCTTAATAGCATATTTAATCAGATTAACTAAAAAATTATACAACCACATTAAAATAAATAATTTCACTACTGTCATTCACATTAAGCAATAAAGGACCTCAACTGATTGTGTTAATTTTGCTTTACTTTTGTATTTTTATACTAATAGAGAGTTTATTTTTGAGAGAGTTTATGGTAGATTTCTATACAGCCTCACTCCACCACTCCATATATATATATATATATATATTTTTTTTTTTGACAGGCAGAGTGGACAGTGAGAGAGAGAGACAGAGAGGAAGGTCTTCCTTTGCTGTTGGTTCACCCTCCAATGGCCACTGCAGCTGGCGCGCTGTGGCCTGCGCACTGCGCTGATCCGAAGCCAGGAGCCAGCCAGGTGCTTCTCCTGGTCTCCCATGCGGGTGCAAAGCCCAAGGACTTGGGGCCATCCTCCACTGCACTCCCAGGCCACAGCAGACAGCTAGACAGGAAGAGGAGCGACTGGGACAGAATCCGGCGCCCCGACCGGGACTAGAACCCGGTGTGCCTGCGCCACAGGCGGAGGATTAGCCTATTGAGCCACGGTGCCGGCCCTGTATATAATTATGGCATAAAACAAAGCTAATATTCTACTAAGAAAGCTGAGAATTGTTAGATAAAAAACTGGGGATGGGCATTTGGCCTACTGATTAAGCCACCAGTTGGGATGGCCACACTCCATATCAGAGTGCCTAGGCTTCAGTTCCAGCTCTGTCCCAAATTCAACCTCCTGCTAACATACAACCTAAGAGGTGGCACATGATGGCTGAAGTAGCTGAGTGCCTTCCATCCATGTGGGAGACCTGGATTGAATTCCTGACTTCCAGCTTCAGCTTGGTCCTGCCCCAGCTGTTACAAGCATTTGGAGAGTGAACCAGTGCTGAAAGTTCTGTCTCTCCAATTAGTAAAATAAAAATTAAAGGGGCTAGCATTGTGGCATAGCAGGTAAAGCCGCTGCCTGAAGTGCCGTCATCCCATATAGGCGCTGGTTTGAGTCCCGGCTGCTCTACTTCCGATCCAGCTCTCTGCTATGGTGGGAAAGCAGTGGAAGATGGCTCAAGTCCTTGGGCCCCTGCACCCGCGTGGGAGACTTGGAAGAAGCTCCTGGCTCCCAGCTTCAGATCAGCTCCAGCCGTTGCAACCAATTGGGGAATGAACCAGCAGATGAAAGACCTCTCTCTGCTTCTCCTTCTCTCTCTGTGTAACTCTGACTTTCAAATACATAAATAAATCTTTTTTAAAAGAAAGCTATTTTCATTCTAAATGGGCCAGAACTTTAAAGAATCCACTGACTTGTTCCTGCCCAAAGAAATGACAAAAGGCCAGAAGCAGAAAAAAGGTACAAAATGTTACCATAAGTGATGTTTTCCCATTGAGCCATGCATGTATATATATTAACCTATCAGTAGCCTCCTCAAGAAATATTTTCTTTGCTTTTAGGCTAAATCTGCAATAAGATACCCAAATCACTGTATAACAACGTCCTTATGAAAACAGAAACAACATGAAACTGAAATGGATACTAAATACATATGTGTTATTAGGTCAACTATTTGAGAAGTCTGTTAGTACATAGCTTATAGACTGTTTCTTGCTTCAAAATGTCACAGTTTTAAATGTGAAAGTTACTTACTTCTGATGAAAAATCTAGACTACATTAATATGGAATAAAATATTTATTGGGATTTTTTCTCCTGTGACATTAGGCTGTTTATTTTTCCTAGCTCTCCAAATGACACAGTTGCAGAACCTCTTTCAGCTGGCCTTGCCTGAAAATGAGAAAGATTAAAGATATTAGAAATAGATATACATGGCCCTGATTCACCCCCTTAACACTGACTTACATAAAAAAACACTCCACTCTAATAAGCTATAAAACAGAAACAGAAACATGAACCCACTAAGGGAAGGGATCTGTCTTCATAATGTTACCTGCGATTCATGGTATTTCCATCCAATCATGTAATAAATCTGATACGTAGCAGGTACTGAACCATCCTCATTTCCATACATTTCTGTAAAGACAAATTATAAAGTCCAAAAAAACACAAGAAAAAACACTTGTTCAATGGAAGTCATGCCTCCAAAGAAAAATGGATAACTCTATACTTATAGAATCTGAGAATACTTCACATGAAAATTCTTAGTAGTGAGACACTGATAATAAAAAAATGATAAACGCTATATGGAAAAAAATCCAGAGGAAGGACACAATATCTGATGATGCCTTAACAAGAAAAGAAAAAGCACTGGCAGTGTTAAGGGAATCCACGGGACGTGGCCCAGGTTCCTCACTGTGCCTCAGGTGGAGTGAGCGGGCCTCTGCATGGGTCTTACCTCTGTACACAGCTGCAGCCGCCAGCATTGTGTCTCGGTGCAGTAGTGCTTTTCTATTCCAAGAACAGTTACTTTCACCCATACCTAGAAATACAGCACAAGCAGTCTGAGAGAATACAGCAAATACCCTGAGCAGTTTAGGATCACAGATTTAACCGTATGTCATACATCAGAATACTCAACTCCAATCTCCAGTAGTCAGGCAAAATAACCTAACTCCCATTTCACTTTCAGATTACAGCAAAGCTTCCCTGTGATTCTGAAGCAAACCACTGAACTTTCTGGAACAACAAGACAGGAAAAGCAGTCAAATTTTAGGAGAGAAGCTCCATAATGCTTTGCTTGCCAGCAACAGTCTAAAGGAAGCCAGGTGGGCAAAAGCAAGGGGACTGGCCCTCCAGGGTGATTCTTCAGTCTTGGCAAATGCCTTTCCATGGATGCCACATCTGACACTTCTTTTCGCTGCTCTTTGAGGGAGGATGAGACAGTGCCACATGCCTCACTCCTAAACCGTAGTAGGTATGGTAGTGGAACCTGGATGAGGGCTTTGAGACTCATGAGACAGCACCACAGCTACTGTAGTTAAGTATTTTCAGATTTTACTGACCCAGATTGGGAAAGAATGATGTGCTTTCTTTTCAGAGTCACTTCTCTTGTTTTAAAATTTACTTTTAGATTTCTTTACTTCTACTTGATGATTAAAAGCTAGGATAAATATCATTCTTCTAGTCATCAAAAATTAATAATGTGCTTGATTTTTCTAAAAAAAAAAAAAAAAAAGCCCATATTATGAAAGGCCACATTTAAAACTGAATCTCCAAAATTTGAATTTCAAACCCAGTAATCCTTTGTATTTATCCTGTATGCTAAGCTTCGCTACATGATCAAGTGTCACTTTCTTAATTTTGTTTTTCTACTTTTGTAAATTAAGAAACAAATAAGAGATTCCTAGTATTAGTATTCTTCAATAATTTAAAAATAATCTACCAAAAGCAGTTTTACTAAAAACAATTAATAAACTAAACCTTTCTCTTCTCTCCAATCATAAATAATTCCTATAATTCTCTAATGAATGTCTGCTACTAAAATCAATGAGCCACTTCCTCTGAGTACAACAGCCTCAATTCATGAAAAACAACAGACCCAAACTCATGGATTAATCATCATCAAGAAAAACATAGCTCCTGCTCTTTCAGCCATGGAACACAACAGTTGTCCAGGTGGCCAGACCAGATGATCTCTGAGGGCTTCTGGTGCTAGCGTTTCAGACCCACTACTAGAAAATACTCTGAGTATCAACCATATCAAGTGAACAAACTGGAAGACTCTTGCTGATGACCACTATAGTACTTTCTACACTCTACCTTGGTGTCCTGTTGCCATGGCTTGCTTATATCCCAGATATGGACAACACCAGTGGAAACTATAATTAGCTAACTTTTAAAAATCATTCAGGACTTCTAACCTTTGGGACTAAAGAAAAATCTAGCCAGCAGGCAACTGTTTAATACTCTCACAGTGTTTTTAAGGTTAAGTTCAACTTATTATTAAAAAACTTAATTTAATTATGACTTAGTAGGAACAATACTGAGTATTGTTTAAAGAAAAAGAACTGAACTTACCTTAAAATCACTGTGAAAGCCTCAAAAATTTTTCATGCTTTCATCAGCTGATAGGCAACTTGTTTTGTAAAATAAGGTCAATATTCTGGACTTTTTTTTTCTGTGAATTAATAATAATGGCAGCTTAAATGAGATACATAGTGAAGAAAAAAATGTCAACACAAATGTAACTGTAAACTGAAAACCAGCATGAAGGTAACACCATTCTTCAGTTGGCAAAGCTGCACACCTGAAAGTCTCCCCAGCTGCTCAGCTCCATCCTTCATCCCATTACCATTCATTCAACCCTGTCTGCCTGGGACTTTTCCCGAGTAGAGTGGTTGCGATTTCAGGCTATGAATCAGGCTGCTTGACTGGATTGAAATCTTGGCTCTACCACTTACTAACCACATCATCTTGAAGAAGTTCCTTAACTTCTACCCGTGTCTCGGATTCCCCACATGTAACAAGTCAGATTAACCATGCTAGCTCTAGTCTTATCTTCCTTAGAAGATAATGCTTCCTTAAAAATAATGCTGGTGGGTGAGCTTTTCAACATTAATATGGTTGTCTCTCCTCTGTAAAGTTCTTTCAAGAAACCACAAATCTCACCCCCCAAAAACCAGAAGACTCTAATTGTAGGTCAGTCTCATCATTTCATTATTCTACACACTCAAGCAACACTGAGTTACCATCCAGTTCTTTCGTCAGGAGAGTAAAGCATGTGTATGTCCTCTGATGCCTGTGTGATTTCACACTAGCCATCTTGTCCGTGTGGAATGCAATGCCTGTCCCCTCAAAACTGCAACTACACTACTTCTTGTCAAAAGCAAACTCATTTTTTTTTTTAATTTTTTTTGATAGGCAGAGTAGACAGTGAGAGAGAGAGACAGAGAGAAAGGTCTTTCTTTTCCATTGGTTCACCCCCCAATGGCTGCTGCAGCTGGTGTGCTGCGGCAGGCACATGGCGCTGATCCGAAGCCAGGAGCCAGGTACTTCCTCCTGGTCTCCCAGGGGGTGCAGGGCCCAAGCACTTGGGCCATCCTCCACTGCACTCCCGGGCCACAGCAGAAAGCTGGACTGGAAGAGGGGCAACCGGGACAGAATCCGGTGCCCCAACTGGAACTAGAACCAGGTGTGCTGGTGCCGCAGGCAGAGGATTAGCCTAGTGAGCCGCAGCACCAGCCTAAAAGCAAACTCATTTTAGCTTAGGTGCTGCTGCTTCTGCAAAAGTTTCTAACTCCCTAGGTGGGATCAGTGACCTGTTCTCTTGGTTTCTCCATGTGCTTTACAAAGGATCTCATTTTACAGCTAAATGCATATGTCTATTTACCTCTGTGTGTCCCTTTCTCTATACTAAAATATCAATTGTCTGAGACCAGGAACTATATGCATTCACCAGTGGCTTTGTGGTTACACATGCCAGATGCTCAATACATGGCAAATAAATGAATATAAAAGCAACCAGGAAATGTTATTTTTGGTAAATATCATTTTACAAGTTAACTTTAGATAATTCCTCTAATCTTCCTAAGGACAAGAGACATGAAAGGCTAACATGCAGTTTTTGTAAAAGGCTTTATAGTCAAAACAAAAGCAGCAAAGCCTTTTTCAGGTAAATATTAGTAACGAGTTCCAGATAATACATGACCCATTTAAAACCATCAGATGAGCAGCTGAGAAGGTGTACAAAGCAATCTTCTAGGGGACTGGAAATATTCTATATCTTAGTCTGGTTAAAAATACAGGCACCTGGCCGGCGCCGTGGCTCGATAGGCTAATCCTCTGCCTTGCGGCGCTGGCACACCGGGTTCTAGTCCCAGTCGGGGCGCCGGATTCTGTCCCGGTTGCCCCTCTTCCAGGTCAGCTCTCTGCTGTGGCCCGGGAGTGCAGTGGAGGATGGCCCAAGTGCTTGGGCCCTGCACCCCCTGGGAGACCAGGAGAAGCACCTGGCTCCTGGCTTCGGATCAGCACGCTGCGCCGGCTGCAGCGCGCTGGCTGCGGTGGCCATTGGAGGGTGAACCAACGGCAAAGGAAGACCTTTCTCTCTGTCTCTCTCTCTCACTGTCCACTCTGCCTGTCAAAAAACAAACAAACAAACAAACAAACAAACAACCAGGTACCTATACCTTTAAGATCAAAGCACCTGAGTTTACACAATTACTTCAATGTTTAAAAACTTGAAAAATACCAAGTACACAGTATAGGACTCTGGATTCAAATAATAACTCCAGATTCATTGCAATCACAGACAAGATACTTAATTTCTCAAGGCCTCAATTTGCTCACTTGTAAAATTAGGATATAGAAAATCTCAGAAAATTGTACTGCATAGAAACTGCATGAAGATTTTCTGCTTTCTCCTCACCAATGAATCCACTATCTGCCATTGAGTGTGCTTTCAAAATATGTGTCTCAAAAAGGGTAAAAATATTGTTTAAAGTACCTTACCTTGCAAATCTTCCATCAACTCAAACATTCCAGGATAGTTAACCTGAATTTCATCAGTGTCCTATGTAAAAAGAAAAAGTTGATATTTATCATTTTTTTTTTTTTTTTTTTTTTGACAGGCAGAGTGGACAGTGAGAGAGAGAGACAGAGAGAAAGGTCTTCCTTTGCCGTTGGTTCACCCTCCAATGGCCGCCGCGGCTGGCGCGCTGCGGCCGGCGCACCACGCTGATCTGATGGCAGGAGCCAGGAGCCAGGTGCTTTTCCTGGTCTCCCATGGGGTGCAGGGCCCAAGCACCTGGGCCATCCTCCACTGCACTCCCTGGCCACAGCAGAGAGCTGGCCTGGAAGAGGGGCAACCGGGACAGAATCCGGCGCCCCGACTGGGACTAGAACCCGGTGTGCCGGCGCCGCTAGGCGGAGGATTAGCCTAGTGAGCCGCGGCGCCGGCCGGATATTTATCATTTTAAAAAATCCAGAATTGAAACAGGGCTGTAGAGATTATCCTGACCAATCTCTCATGGTAAGTGAGTAATCTACTTAAATATCCTTTATCAGTGTCAGCTAGCTTTTGCTTGATATATGAAAATCTCAAATTGCCAAACAAGAGTATTCCCCACTGTGAGAAAAATCTCCCTAAAATTCCATCAACTGGTTCTTGTTCTTTCCTTGGAAACAACACAGAAGAAATCTATTCTGGATGCTACAAACCATCACCCTCTTCTCTAAGACTTTGAAAATTTTCCTAGGATATCACAGTTTTACAGGGTGGGGTGGGGAGGAAGGAGCTAGTCTTCTAGGCAGAATTTAGAGATTCTTACATTTTTTGCCTACATTTCCCTGTACAGAGTCATTATCGATCCTTCTTAACATCCGGGACCCAGAACTAAGCCAAATATGATCATCTCCAAGGATATTTTCATTGAAGTTTGAATAATGCTGCTTAACAACACCGGCTGAGGAAATGTGCATTCTGTTGACACCATGCGGCTTATTTCTCAAATGAACTATAGAGTGATGACTGCCCCTTCCGTCTGAAGCCTGATGTAGGGGTTCACTGTTGATAACAGTGGTAGAGATCACAGATACACCCCAAATATCTTGGTGCTTCTGGGCACCTCCTAGCCTCAAGCACAGATTTCTTCTGGACAAAAAAAAGGAGAAGCCAGGCAGACCAGCTGCAGCCAGAATTGTGACTGGAGTCTGCGGGGCAATTCAGACTGACCAGAGTTACCTCAAAGGTGGGTTTGTTAAATGATACATCTCTGATGACCTTTGAGCAGCCGTCTTTGAACATACAACATACGTAAAAGTACGATTTGTTAGTGCGCATGCTCACAGGGCTTTCTTTCCGTATCTCCTTTCCTCTGCACCTATCCCATCACTAGGTTTTGTCTAATTATACCCCATGCATCCTCACTCTATAAATTCCCAAACCCCTTTCTGAACAGGGAGATAGATCTGGGTTTTTATTGCTTTTTTTTCTCCCTCATCTCTTTTTGTTTTTTAAGATTTACATATTTATTTGAAGGTCACAGAAACCGAGAGGGAGAGATAGAGAAAGAGAGATCTTCCATCTGCTGATTCACTCCCCACACAGTAGCAACAGCAAGGCCTGGCCCAGACCGAAGTCAGGAACCAGGAGCATCATACAGGTCTCCCACGTGGGTACAGGGGCCCAAGTACATAGGCCGCTTTCTGCTGCTTTACCCAGGAGGATCAGCAGGGAGCCGGATCAGAGTGGAGCAGCAGGGACTCAAACCAACGCCCATATGGAACGCCGGTGTCGCAGACATCAGCTTTTTACCCACTATGTCATGTGCTGGCTCCTCTCCCTCATCTTTTTATTTTTTTGACAGGCAGAGTGGACAGTGAGAGAGAGAGACAGAGAGAAAGGTCTTCCTTTGCCGTTGGTTCACCCTCCAATGGCCGCCGCAGCTGACGCACTGTGGCCGGCGCACCGCACTGATCAGATGGCAGGAGCCAGGTGCTTCTCCTGGTCTCCCATGGGATGTAGGGCCCAAGCACTTGGGCCATCCTCCACTGCACTCCCTGGCCACAGCAGAGAGATGGCCTGGAAGAGGGGCAACCGGGACAGAATCCGGCGCCCCGACCAGGACTAGAATCCGGTGTGCCGGCGCCGCAAGGCAGAGGATTAGCCTAGTTAGCCGTGGCGCCGGCTGCCTCATCTTCTTAAAAGCTGGTAAAAAGCTTCTTTCTCAGAAGATTCAGCATCTGGTGTTTGTTAATCTAAAAGTTGTGTGTGTGTGTATGTGTGTGTGTGTGTGTGTGTGTGTGGTAGGGAGGATGTAGTGGGCCTAATGCTTGGCAGTGTAAGTAAAGGAAATATTAGCAATTAAGGCTTTAAAATCAGGAGTTTCTTATTAACTTTCAGCCACATCAGATCTCTTAAGATCTGATGAAAACCATGGACACGTTTTTTCCACATATGAACAACAACAAAAAAACAATTTTGTGTACGATGTCCTAGTATTAGATCTTCTAAAATTTACTGACAGGCCTGCTATAAATCCAAGAACTGACATATCCAAAGTACTTGAAATAGTATCTGGCACCCAAAAGGTACTCAATAAGTGTTTGTTGTAAAAGTAAATAAATAAAATGAAATAGAAGGATATGGATTGTAGCACTGCTTCTACTGGCAAAAAATAATTAGAACAAATCTAAATATCATTTATAGGGAAACAGTTAAGTAAAACTGTAGTACAATAAGCAACATGTGGAAGTTAAGGAGGACAAATATATCCACATTGATTTAGAGAACTCTTTAAAATATATTGTTACAAATTAAAAACAAGTTTCAGAAACATGTACATATATATATGAGTGTATATATAAAGAAAGGCAAAGTAATTCTTAAAAAAAAAGAAACTTAAACGTTACATGCCAAATTGATAATAGTAGCTACCACTACAGCAGCAGTTCTCAAAGGGTGGTATGAGTCCTGGAGTCCCTGGGATTCTTATTATTTTCTTAATAATACTAAGACATTATTTGCCTTTTCCACCTCTTACTATACAGTGGTATTTTATAGAAGCTACAAGACATGTGATGTAGCAATAGAATTCAAGGCAGAACCAAGTATGAGAATTTAGCTCTCTTTCACTAAAGCATGCTAGGGGTCTTCAAAAAGTTCATGAAAATACATGCTATGAATAAATTCTGCATAGATTTAAAAAATTTTTGCACTAAAATAAATTTATTTTCAAATCTACTTTTTCATAAACTTTCTGAAATACATTAAAGAAATTTTTTAAAATGTAAAATAATGATATCCTTTCCATTTTTTTGTTTGGAAAATTACAGCTCTTTTTCATAAAATTAGGTTAACAATGGTGGGTATATTATTGCTATTTTTAAATGGATTAATAAATACTTAAACAATGTGGTTAATACTGAGATACATTGAAACACATTAAGAAAAGCCCTTTAAGGTCCTCAATAATTTTTAAATGAAAAGAAGCTTCCTGACCAAAATTCTGAGGACTGCTGCTACTCTCGGAAGACAACTAAGACTGTTGGGATTAAGGGGATAACAGACTTTCACTTCATCCATAGAGTTTATTTGTGTGTTAGTTAAATAATTTACAGTATATTTAAAATTACAGTGATCCTTCAACACACAACTGTATTAACTGCCTGAATTAACAATCCTTGTTTTCATTACAAAACAGAGCACTCATATGAAGCATTTTTCCAATTTTCAGCTGCTCAACACCTCAGAACACAGTTTCTATTGACTCAGTCATTTAAAAGTTTATAAAAGGTCAATCCCAGACACAGCTGTGAAGTGCTGCGGGTTGACTTTAGTTCCTAGCCTATTCTTCTAGCCCGTTGTTTCTTCCCTTTCCAACATCAGAGGTCCTGCTGGTCCATGCCCTTTACTTTCTATCAAAACAAGGAAGGGTATGACAACCTATTTTTGGTTAGTTGATTTTATGAAACATATTCACACTAAATTTCCACAAACAACCTCTAATTTCAAGCCTATCATTTTTAATCACACAGTGAGAAACTTTCTTCATCAAGGAATTCCAATCGCCTCTGATTAGGTTTAGAGATGTTTCTAGGCCTGAAGAGTTTGCAAAAAATCATATACAATAAGTCTATTCAACTGACCTCTGAAGAAAGTAATGATGTCCTTAGAATGATTCTGCTATCGGAGGGAGGTGGAAGAGGCAGTCATTACCTCTACAGATAACTCCCCTTTGGAAACCTAGTCCTGCAAAGTGCTAGAGTAGAGGGCTGGGAAGGAGAAAGGTAGAAGCTAATATTTATTGAGCATTTACCATGGCTCCTGTGTAACATACCCTTTATCTTATTTAAAACTAACAGCCACCTGAGGTGAACAGCATTTACATGTTTGGAAGAAATGAATGCTTGGGGACAGCACTGTGGACAGTTAGCAGGGCTGTGCCAGCATCCTATATGAGTGGCAGTTAAGAGTCTTGGCTGCTCTACTTCTGATCCAGCTTCCTGCTAATGCACCTGGGAAAGCAGCAGAAAATGACCCAAGTCCGTGGGCTCCTGCACCCATGTGGGAGACCTGGAAGAAGCTCCTGGCTCCTGGCTTCTGACTGGCCCAGCTCCAGTTGTTGCAGCCATTTGGGGAGTGAACGAGCAGATGGAAGATCTCTCTCTCTCCGTCTCACCCTCTCTCTATAACTCTGCCTTTCAAATAAAAAAGACTTATATTTCAGAAAAAAAGAAAAAAAAGGAAAATAAATGAATGCTCAAAGTGAAATAAATGACCCAAATTCCCCTAGCTTTAAATGGACAGCGTCAGGATTGACGTTACACTTAACTGGCCACCAGTGCCCTATCCCGTCACAGCGCCATGCTGACTCCATGTTTCTTCTGCAATGACTCTATATGAGCAGAACACATCCTACCTTCTCTAACCTTGATCAAACCACCCGTTTTCATCTCTGCTTCACATAGCATTATTTCAGCCAAGGGCTAGTGGTGGAAGCAGTACTATAAATGCCCCCATGTATCCCATTTTTTTCCTATCATCTGGAATGCTCTAATTCCTATCATATACTCAAAATCTAGATTTGAAGATTCTGATGGATTAGTATGTTTATAAAACAGTCTCAATTTAACATGGTATTTTTTTTTAAGTTATTCAGGTAACAAACAACTAAAAATTTCACATTCCTACTTTATGTCAATCAAGATGGGTGTATACAAAACTAAGCATGGCTAAGAGCTTTTCCTTAAAAAAAAAAAAAAAAAAAAAGACGAGGAAGAGGTTAAAAAAAAAAAGATGAGGAAGAGGTAAAAGAGGAGGAAGAGGTAGGGGAGAAAAATACCTCAAATCTTTCCAGAGTACTATGGATATATAATTTTCTATCTTGAAAATGAAAAGAAGCTGTTTCTATAATGTGCAATCATCAGATTACTTGGTTTCCTTGACAATTACCACAGTCAGTGTATTGAAGCCAGCTCTCCCGAGTAGATGTCCCAGGTCATTGACAGCAGTGAAAGGAGAAACATGTGGAGAAAATCCTCCTTCTCTTTCTGTTTCTGCTAACTGTAATGAACATCGAAGCTCATATAGTGTGTCGCCTCCAAACATTGCACCAATAAATACACCATCTGGTTTTAAAACGTAATGAATCTGTCATAAATACAAGACAACAAAACCATTCAAGATTTTACATATAGAAATGTTAAATCAACATTTTATAACTACCAATCTTATTTTGCCAAGCAACCTAATAAATAACATCTAAATAAACAACTGTCAGAACACGATTGCTGTATAATGTATTTGTAAAGAGAGACAATACTATCACTATTAACTCTAAGAATATGCTGGATATTTTCAAATTTTACAATAGACACGACCCACTCTTATCATCATAAAAATATTGAAAGAAACAATAGTTTTAAATGTGATAGATTTAAAAAAATCACAACCTTTCCCATACCTATGCCCTCTGAAGTGTCATTTTCTAACAACTCCTATTGAGAGATGGAGTCTTTTTTCCCTCTTCTTGAATTTAGGCTATCCTTGTGACTTGCTTTGACCAAAAAAATGAAGTAGAAATAACAGTGTATCAGTTTCAAGCCTAGTCCTCAAATAGCCTTGCATGCTTTGACCTGCTTTCTTCTGGTCACCATGTTATAAACAAGCCTGAGCCAGTCCAGCAGAGGAAAGAGACTGAGGAGCAGCTGTCCTCAGTCCATCCTAAAACAGACTATGCTCAACAATGAAGACCACTAGAAAAGGTAGACTCTAAAGAAAACCAGAATCAAAATCACAGTAGTCTAATCAAAGCCATCTTAAATTTACATTGATTATGAAGCAAATACAAAGCAATATATAAGCAAACAAACTGCAATATCTTTGTTTCTCTCTTCTGCTCTTTTACGATTACTTCCCTTTCCTGCCACCGAATAAAGTACCTAAGATAAGTCCTCACTTCTCTGCAGCCCCCTCTACCTGACAGGGCTTATCAACTCCCATGATTTCATGAAGGTGACTTTCCAATCTCAATCTTTTGCCTATCTTCCCAGAATTCTAAATTCATCTTCAACTGCCTTGCCCATGGACATCTATGTCTCAGCAAACTCAGTATCCCCACTCCCTCCACAGGAAAAACACCTCTTCTTTAACCAAATGCCCTTTCGAATAGTCATATTTCTGTTATTTACTATTTTTATTCTTTTCTGATCATTAACATCCCCCCAACTTTCGCTAATTCTTGCCCCACTATCCAAATTCAAAACTTTGGGTGATAGGGCCAGCACTGTGGCGTAGCAGGTAAAGCTGCTGATATGAGTGCCAGTTCAAGTCCCAGCTGCTCCACTTCTGATCCAGCTCCCTGCTAATGGACCTGGGGAAGCAGCAGAAGATAGCCCAAGTACTTGGGCCCCTGCACCTACGTAGGACACCTGGAAGAAGCTCCTGGCTCCTGGCTTCAGATGGGCCCAGCTCTGGCCATTGTGGCCATTTGAGGAGTGAACCAGTGGATGGAAGATCTTTCTCTCTGCCTCTGCTTCTCTGTAACTCTGCCTTTCACATAAATAAATAAATAATTAAAAAAAAAAAAAACTTTAAGGTGAGTTTTTTTTTTTTTTTTTTTTTTTTTTGACAGGCAGAGTGGACAGTGAGAGAGAGAGAGACAGAGAGAAAGGTCTTCCTTTGCCAGTGGTTCACCCTCCAATGGCCGCCGTGGCCGGCGCGCTGCGGCTGGCGCACCACGCTGATCCGATGGCAGGAGCCAGGTACTTCTCCTGGTCTCCCATGGGGTGCAGGGCCCAAGCACTTGGGCCATCCTCCACTGCACTCCCGGGCCACAGCAGAGAGCTGGCCTGGAAGAGGGGCAACCGGGGACAGAATCCGGCACCCCGACCAGGACTAGAACCCGGTGTGCCAGCGCCGCAAGGCGGAGGATTAGCCTAGTGAGCTGCGGCGCCGGCATAAGGTGAGCTTTGATTCTTCGCTTTCTTTGATCTTCAGATCTAACAAGCCATCAAACTGTTGACTCTTCTTCTGTAGAGTCCTAAAATATTTTTCTTCATTTTAACTCCTACCATTGCCTCCTTGGTTCAGTTTCTTATGGCTCCAACCATTAAAACAACCTCCCTTCAATTTAACTGACTTCTCCAGGCATGTTTTCTAAGAAGTAAAAAGAAGAAGATATCTTACAGGTTTACTTAACACACATACTCATATTAGAAGACAGCTGTTACAGAGAGAGGGGCGTAACCATGGGTTAAGCTGCCACTTGGAATGCCCATGTGCCATATCAGAGTGCGACTTCAAGTCCCAACACCTCTGCTTCTAATCAAGCTTCCTGCTAAATGGTTTGTGAATATGGAGGCACCTCTGAATTTCTAATAATAAAACAAAAAAGTAGAATTAATGTAAGTTTCCTCACCTGTTCAAGTGCTCTAGGAAGGTCATTCACCCAGTGCAAACTAAAATATGAAAACATGTATATGTTTTAGCTGAAAATTAGTATAATTAATATCATTATTTATATAATGATAAGATACAAATATGGTTTAATTTTGAAGTCTGAAATTGCATACTAAAACTCACTGATCTTTTCATACAGGTTTTAAAATAATAAACATGTCTGGGGGAAATCTTTCAGTCAAAGAAGATAATTCTTCATGCCAGTTTATCACTTTGTTTAAGTAAAAATATCTGATTTGATTATCTAAGTATCTTCATCTAAATAAAGTATAAGTCATTTCTACTCAGGTGTTTCATCCAAAGAGTGGTATACTAAGATCTTATTTGATGAAAATGATGAAAATTAGCACCTAATGACATATTCAAAAGGGTTTATCAATTAAATCCAGTAAATAAACCACAGAATTATAGTATTCTAAGTCTTACTTTCCTAGGAAAAATTAAAAATCATAAGCAGATATAAACTTTTCCAAAGGAAAACAGTATTATTCAGGGCCAGCACTGTGGCGTAGTGGATAAAGCTGTTGCCTCAGTGCCGGCATCCCATATGGAAGGAAGCCAGTTCGAGAACCGGCTGCTCCATTTCCAATCCAGCTCTCTGCTATGGCCTGGGAAAGCAGCAGAAGATGGCCCAACTCCTTGGGCCCCTCCACCAACACGGGAAGACCCAGAGGAAGCTTCTGGCCCCTGGCTTCAGATCGGCACAGCTCCAGCTGTTGCAGCCATCTGGGGAGTGAACCAGCGGATGGAAGACCTCTCTCTCTCTGTCTCCCCTTGTAACTCTTTCAAATAAATAAATTTTTTTTAAAAAAAGGAAAAAAATCAGTATTATTCACCAAAAGTGTAACTCAGTGGGCTTTCTAATAAATAACATCCCACTTCTTGTTGTTGTTAATATTTTATTATTATTTTTAGAACAGTTTTGAGGTTCACAGCAAAACTGAGAGGAAGGTAAAGAGACTTCCCATAAATGCTGTATTCTCACACACATACAGCTTCCACCATGGTCAACCTTCTCTGACAGAGTGGCTTATTTGTTAACAATTCATGAACTTACAAGGACTAATTATCATCGACAATCCACAGTTTATATCAGGGCTCATTCTTGGTATAATATATGCTATAGGTTTGTACAAAAACCTATATGATATGTGCCCACCATTATAGTATCATGAAGAGTAGTTTCACTGTCCTAAGAACCCTCCGTCCCCTGCCTATTCATTCCTTCCTCCTCTACTAACAGCTGGCAACCACTGACCTTTTTCACAATCTCCAGAGTTCTATATTTTCCAGAATGTCATAGAGTCACACAGTACAGTCTTTTTTTGGGTTGGCCTTTTTTACTTTGTAATATGTGTCTAAGTTTCCTACATGTCTTTTAATGCCTTGAGAGCTTATTTCTTTGAGTGCTGAATATTCCATGGACTAGAAATACCAGATTATATATTCAAACACCAAAGGACATCTTAGTTGCTTCCACATCTTGACAATTATAAAAAAAGCTGCTGTAGGCCGGCGCCGCGGCTCACTAGGCTAATCCTCCGTCTTGCGGCGCCGGCACACCGGGTTCTAGTCCCAGTCGGGGTGCCGGATTCTGTCCCGGTTGCCCCTCTTCCAGGCCAGCTCTCTGCTGTGGCCCGGGAGTGCAGTGGAGGATGGCCCAAGTCTTTGGACCCTGCACCCCATGGGAGACCAGGATAAGCACCTGGCTCCTGCCATCGGATCAGCGCGGTGCGCCGGCCGCAGCGCGCCGGCCGCGGCGGCCATTGGAGGGTGAACCAACGGCAAAAAGGAAGACCTTTCTCTCTGTCTCTCTCTCTCACTGTCCACCCTGCCTGTCAAAAAAAAAAAAAAAAAGCTGCTGTAAGCATTTGTGCGCAGGTTTTAGTGTGGGCATAAACCTTTGGGTAAATAACAAGGATCATGATTGCTGGATCATATGATAAAATAGCTTTAGTTTGGTAGGAAGTGCCAAATTGCCCTCCAAAGTGCCTCAAATTATCTTCCAAAGTCAGTGTACCATTTTGCATTTCCACCAGCGATTAAAGAAGGGTTCCTGTAGCTCCACATTCTTGCCAGCATTTGGTATAGTTAGTGTTCTAGATTTTGGCTATTCCAATAGGTGTGTAGTGTATTCCACGTATTTTTATGGCAATAAAAAAGATGAAATCCAAACAAAACCTGAGCTCTACACACCAAAATATAAAAGATCTCTTGAATTTACTTTTGACACTCTTTATTGTCTCCCAGAGTGTAATTATGTATGATTATTTGTGGAGCAACAATCATATTTTCAGTGTCTGCAGAGTACAGTCAAGCCTTCCTGATAGTGTTGGCAGTTCCAGGGCAGAACTGAATACCCAGTTCAAACCGTACTGTGAGAAACTCCCATTTATGTTTCCTAATGCTTCCTGATAATAAATACCTTTAAAAATAATGAGATCCTATCATAAGCCCTATCATACTTATGAGGAAACTAACAGCAACAGAATTAACTTACTTGCAAATGGTAAGCAGATTATTTAAAGTTAAAATTTGGGTTCTGACTTCCTGCCCAGAGCTCCTTCCTTTAAACCAAAATTCTGGTTTTTATTTCATTACAGAATGTGAACATTTTTTTCTAAAAATTTTCAGCACATATACAAAAAGCTAGGAAGAAATCACAACTCACTGAAGAAGACAGCAGGGGTAATCAACTCTCCTACTTTGCCCGGGACTGAGGTTTTCTGGGACATAGGACTCTCCGTGCTAACACTGGCAAAGTCCTGGGAAAACTGTGATGATTATCACTTTAAACACAACTATCAGAAAACCTCTGAAACAAAATCGATTTGACTATAAGAAGAAATAAGATATCACAAGAATATTCTATTTTTTCTACAGACTGAGTTCTTTGAGGACTAGGTCCCTGTCTGAATTCATGTTTGTATTCCTCCAAAACATCTAAATCAGTGCCACACATATTATAATTTATTTAATAAATATTTACAATACATGTTTGTATAATAGATGCAAAGGAACATGGTAGAAAAGAAACAAAAAAATTAACACTGAGGACCACATTTCTGTGCAGAAGAATTAAACTTGAAGGAAATTTCAGCATTCCTTTGTTTCCAAGATGAGTTTATGATACAACTGCTCTAACATTTGTATACCGAAGCCATCAATATCAATTCCAAAATAGTAAGTTACATCAGGGAGGAAAGCCCTCTATCACAAATTAGCTAAAGCAAGTTGTACAAACTTGTAGGAAAAGACAAAAAAAAAAAAAAAATCTTGAGACTACATCATATTTTTTCCTCTAGGGAGCAAAGAATCCATTAATTAAGAGAAATCTTATAGTTCATAAACTAAAGAAGCTGGTTATGATTTTAAAAAAGGTTATTAAGGAGACGGCACTTGGTACAGGGGTTAACATGCTGACTGGGATGCCTGCAAACCATATCAAAATGCCTGGATTCAAGTCCTGGTTCTATTTCTGATTTCAGTTTCCTGCTAATGTGCATCCTGGAAGACAGCAAGTGTTGGCTCAAGTACTCAGGTCCTTGCCATAGGGGGGAGACCCAGATTGAGTTCCAGAGGATGAAAGATCTCTTTCTGTCTCTTCCAAATGAATAGAAAAAAAAATACACTCCTCTAAATTTTAGCAATAAATAAAATAAAAAAGTATTCCCAACATAAAAAAATTTTATTAAGAATATTTCATTACCTACTATTTTGACCTCATAAGAATAAAAACTATAAAAAGAATAAAATGTTATGGCATAAATTATCTATTCACAAGTATAACATATGTGTTTTTAATGGATTACCTACCTTAAACTGCTAACCACAAGGTCAAATGTATTTTCTCGGAAAGGAAGGAATTCTTCATCAGCTAAAACACTGACAGTAGGAATTTCTGTTTCTAAGGAATTTTTCTAATGGTAAAAAAAAAAATAAAAGATCAAAAACATTTATATAGTTGCAATTAACACAATCATTGTTCAACTTAAGGCTGTATTTATTTGTAGTTTCTATCAGGTAAAAAAGGTGGCATACAGAAGGCACTCAGAAAATATTTTATGACACTTAACATCAGCCAGAAAACTGGCCAACTGGTTGGGAAAATATTATCAGGATTCATACCTCACACACACACAAAAAAGTCCCATAAAGTTGAAGATTTCAGTGAAATAACTGAGGTTATTAAGTACTAGATGAAAATATAGGGGACCCTTTCTATACTGTTAAATTTAAAAAGTCTAAGAAAAAACAACTCAAAAGCTAGAAACTACAAAGGAAAGACTGACATATTTAATGATAAACTAATTAAAAACTCTAAAATCAAAAAACAAAGTAAAAAACAGGGAAAATGCAACAAACATGATTAAGAATTAATAATCCCTGCTAAACAAGCTCTTACAAACAACTTAGAATAACATGTGAAGGGTAAAATAGATGAAGGACAAAGTACAGGCACATCACAAAATTATTATAGGGGCTGGCGCTGTGGCGAAATGGGTAAAGCCTCTGCCTTCAGTGCCAGCATCCCATATGAGTGCTGGTTCGAGTCCTGGCTGCTCCACTTCTGATCTAGCTCTCTGCTATGGCCTGGGAAAGCAGTAGAAGATGGCCCAAGTCCTTGAGCCCTTGCACCTGCATGGGAGACCTGGAAGAAGCTCCTGGATCCTGGCTTTGGATTAACACAGCTCCAGCCATTGCAGCCAACTGGGGAGTGAACCAGCAGAAGGAAGACCTCTCTCTTTCTCTCTGCCTCTTCTTCTCTGTCTGTGTAACTCTGAATTTCAAGTAAATAAATAAATCTTTTAAAAAATTATTACAAAAAAATCACAAGAAATACCAGTTGCGGCCAGAGCTGTGGGGTAGTAGGCTAAGCCTCTCTCTGCAGCGCTGAATCCCATATAGGTGCCAGATTGTGTCCCAGCTGCTCCTTCTAATCCAGCTCTCTGCTTATGCCCTGGGAAAGCAGTGGAAGAAGGCCTAAATGTTTAGGCCCCTGTACCCATGTGGGAGACCTGGAAGAAACTCCTGGCTCCTAGCTTTGGATAGGCCCAGCTCTGGCCACTGCAGTCATTTGGGGAGTGAACCAGTGGATGGAAGATCTTTCTTTTTGTCTCTCCCTCCGTCTGTCTGTAACTCTATCTCTCAAATAAATAAAATCTTTTAAGAAAAAGAAAGAAACTTACAGGGCCGGCACCTTAGCGTAGCAGGTTAAGCTGCCACTTGCAGTGCCAGATCCCATATGGCAGCTGGTTCGTGTCATGGCTGCTCTGCTTCTGATCCAGCTCCCTGATAATGTGCCTGGGAAAGCAGTGGAAAATGGCCCAAGTACTTGGGCCCCTGCACCTACGTGGAACACCCAGATGAAGCTCCAGGCTCTGGCCTGGCCCAGCCCTGGCTATTGTGGCCATTTGGGGACTGAATGAGAAGATGGAAGAATTTTCTCAGGCTCTGCCTCTTCCTCTCTGTAACTCTACCTCTAAAACAAATAAATCCTTTTTTTAAAAAAGAAACTTAGAAATGAGTATTAATGAATTCATTAATTTTATTACCAAGAACATATGCACAATTAGAAAATTAAACACACGGCTGGCACCGTGGCTCAATAGGCTAATCCTCTGCCTGCGGTGCCGGCACCCGGGGTTCTAGTCCCGGTAGGGGCACCGGATTCTGTGCCAGTTGCCCCTCTTCCAGTCCACCTCTCTGTTGTGGCCCGGGAAGGCAGTAGAGGATGGCCTAAGTGCTTGGGCCCTGCACCTGCATGGGAGACCAAGAGAAGCACCTGGCTCCTGACTTCAGATCAGCGCGATGCGCCAGCTGCAGCGCGCCGGCCGCGGCGGCCATTGGAGGGTGAACCAACGGCAAAAGGAAGACCTTTCTCTCTGTCTCTCTCTCTCACTGTCTACTCTGCCTGTCAAAAAATTAAAAAATTAAAAAAAAAGAAAATTAAACACACAAAGTTGCTTTATGCAAGACTGTCTATGGCAGTGTTGGTTATTGAGAAACAACACATAAGTGCCTTTCAACAGAATTTAAATAAAAAACCAAGGATTATACATATTAGATGGTACTCTCACACATATACAATATATACTGACAGAAAAAATGATGTTCTGTTAAAAGTAAGGAACATTAGTATAATACTATGCATATAAAATTATACACAGGGTGGCAGACAGTTAACATCTGCAAAGATGTAGACCAAATGTCATTAGCAGCCCCTCAAAGTAGTGGGAGTAGCGGTGATTTTTCCCTTTTCCTTTATGTTTTCTATACTATAACACACTTCATGTGTGTTATATTTAAATCCAGGGGAAAAACAAATTTCCATTCAAAGACACCTACCAAAGCATTTTCTGCAATGTCTGCTTGGAAAAACTTTCCAACAGTTTCCTGCAATGGAATAATTAAAGCTGATAAGAAGATGTAAGACCAAAACAAATACACCCACCCTATAACAAATAAATGGATAGGATTTCTAAAGGAGAAAATGATACTTACAGATTTATTTTCAGTTCTGTTAGGATATCTCTCTGTATAATACCAGTATAATATATACCATTATATACATTTCAATATATCCAGCTAACCAACCCTTCATTTCACAGATTTAACTATATTTAATAAAACAGAGAACACAGATGTGCATGATTAACCTCCTTACGTGATTCTCCTGCTTTAGGACTTCTGCATCAACTTCTCTATGCAATGCTATGCTGAGGGCTACTTTTCCCACTCTTGGGCCACAAAGGACCTGGAATGAATTCCTTGCCTTTTAGTTGTTCACTCAGATTTTACAAAGAATAACGACACACAGACTTGCAGGTAGGGCTTAAGGGGTTTCACTTTACCTGCTTCATCCTCTCATCCTTCCACCAGCAAAGGGTACTGCAAGATTTCTGTCCTAGATTAATTTTTCACTCAGCTCTCTTTCCTCCAGGATCCTGCTCTAACTCCATCTCTACCAACCTTCATTCTATCTTCTCTTTTCCTCACCATACAACGGAGACAAAGCCCTCAATCTTGAAAAAATCTCCTCACTTCTACATACTTCCCAGTTGATTCACTTATAATCCACAATTCTAACTACTAAGGCCTTTCTGTGCAGTTCCCTGTAATCTAGCTTCCCTTCCACTGCTTTCCAAAACTGTCTTTAAAGATCACAAATGGGCTCCTGCACCAACTAAAACAGTCTGCTCTTAGGGCTCTCAGTTCTGCTTCACCTGACCTCCCTGAAGTACAACCCTATGGGTGGTCTCCTAGAAACTCCTTCAGTATATTCTACTCTGGCTCTCCTCCTTTATTAGAGAAGTCAATCCTTTTTATTCCACTATCCCTGCTTCATAAAGAACATCTCTGCCAACGGTTTAGAAAGAATATACCCTATCATAAAACCCCACCATTACCTGGTCACTGCTGATTACCTGAGGGCAACAGGTATGCAAGTAAATGTTTTAATACAAACGCTCAAAAAATGCAAAAACAGTGTCTGAATTGTAATGTTTACTGATTTCCAATGCAAACTACTCCAACAAGATGGACTGTGTGTTAACTATCATGATGTTGCTAAATGTAGAGTTGGGAAGAGATGTACACAATTGGCTCTCATGTGAGGGTGAACAGTTAAGCCAACCAAACTATCTGTTCCTGTCTCATCATGTGAAAATTTGAACTAAGAGACCTAGAGAAAGGAGGAGAGGGTCACAGAGTCAGAAGAGCATATAATCATTGTGGTTTAGGAAGAGGTGTGCTAGGAAGTATTTAATAAGTGGCTCTTGGTTGGGGATTGATTTGTAGCGTTTGCTAACTTACATGGTGTAAGTACTTTCACCATGGCTGATTTCAAGCTATCAACACAGCGTCACTGAACATAGAGTTGGCAAGAGCTGTTAATAATCAGCTCTTATGGACTGGTATGAGCTAGCTTCAGTTCACTACTGGTTGTGGGGTATTCATATGGGAGCCACATGCACTGCTGAACATGAAGCAGAATCTACAAAAGAAAGAGGGCAACACACATAGCATCCGTGTAATCCGAGAGAGCAGGTGAACAAAATGGATGCTGTTCTGATGTTTCAAATTCTCCTCATAAGGCTTGGCTCTACTTCCAGACCCCTGAGTTGCCTAAAAGGCTCTGTGTACCAAATGTTGCTGTATTTAAAATGACTTCAGGGATGTCTGCATCTTATAATAGTAATAATTAAAAAAAATTTACTAAGACACTGTCTATCTCACTACTCACAAAATCTTTGTTGGTTCCTCCTCATTTTCTCATCCTTAAATACACTCCTGGAAGGTTCTTTTCCATATTCTTGCCCCTAGAGTGTACTTACTCATGACTTTCATTGCCACCATGGACAGGGACTTCCAAATATAAACAATGGTCTCCACTTTGTCACTTACTTATCTCACTTAATCCTTCCAGCAGCCTTTAAGATGGGCATTAGTGCCCACATTTCACAGAAACTGAGGTATGGAGAGACTGGGTAAATGGTTCATGGGCACACAAACAACAAGTGGCGGAGCTGAATCTTGAACCCCTATATGTTGAACTTCGAGTGAGAGCTCCTAACCTCAACACCTTGATTCCAGTTCCACATTTTCAACTACCTGCCAGACATTAACACCAATATAGTCCACTGTCATCTCAGATCAGACACAAATCTGAAATAGGAATCATCCTTTGTTCCTCATTGCTTCCTTAGCTCCTCATTGCACCACTTCTCTAGTATTGACTTTTTCTAGTACTGAAGTGCCTAGAACTTTAAGGTTCTCTTGCATTTATTCATGTAATAGCCATTTAATAAATCTTCATTGTGTGGTGTAGGTACCAGGAATTTAGTAGTGAATAAAAATGAGCGAGTCAAGTAAGAAAAGGCAGATACCAAATAAACAAGCATATATCAGGAGTTAGAGTTCTATGGAAACAAGTAAGGAAACTACTCACTGGAACAAAGTAGGAACTATTTTAAAATAAAAGAGTCAGGAAAGGGATCTTTGATGAGAGGCCATTTGAGCAAAGACCAGATAGAGGTGAGGAACTAAGCCACATATTGGTATCACGGAGAAAAATACAGAGAACAAACATAATGCAAAGCCCTTGCCTGTTGGAGATACAACAGGAGTGCAGGGTTGCTGAGAAGTAGGGAGTAAGAGGAATGAAATAAAGTCAGAGAAATGCTGAAGAGCCAGCTCACTGAAGGCCTTAAGGACAAGGACCCTGGGTTATTACTAAGTTTGATGAGAAGCCAACAATTCTGAGCAGAAGACTAACAATGATTTTATTTGTGATTTATAAGGGTTACAAGTGAGGACAGGCTGTTAGGGGCAAAGGTAGAAGCAGGGAGACCACTGGCAAGAGATGATGGTATTTTGGACCAATACAGTAACAGTGAAGATGGTAAGAAGTGGCAGAGTTATAGATCTACTTTGAAATCCAAATAATATTTGCTAATAGATTCAGTGTGAGAGGACAGGACACAAGAGAAATCAATGAATACGATTTTGGATGCGAAAAACTAGAACAATGGATTTCTCCTGCCAACGACATCTGATCAGTCATCTCGTTTTCTTGATTCCATTAGGTCTCTCTCATACATTCCATCAACTATATCTCTGACCCCACTCAGGTGACAGCAGGTCTTTATCTCTCATATAGCCTCTGAATTGATTTGCTTATCTATCCTGCCACTTTTTCAATCCTTCCTGTCATACTACTTTCAAGTTAGTCTTCCTTAAGCATCACTCTATCACACCTTAGAGCATCCTATCAGCCTTTTTCCTACCATGCTCTGATTTCTAAAGCTATAAACTACCAATATAAATTCTTTGAAATCCCAGGTAAGATTCTTTGCTCTGAGATTTGACCTACTGATTTTTCCTTTCCTTAACTTTTGTTGCACATTAATGCGTGTGCCATTTCTGTGGTATTTACTATTATTAATAAGTGTTTGGGAGCCTTACTCCCTCCTCCTCACCCTAATCAAGTGTATGTTTTTACCTAAGTAAACTTTATATAGAAATCCCACTTTAGTCTTTGTGTCTATCACTGTGTCTTACATACAAGAGAACAAATGGATGTCTTTACAGTCTGAATCAGAAATGAAAAATAAAATGGTAGGAACATTAATAAAGGAAACTTATACAGAAAGATTTCTAACTACCTGCTGAAATTAATATGCCTTCTAGCTAAAAGTGTTTGCTTAATAACATGTATGAACATTACTCTGATTTTCATTGCAAATTTTCAAGTGTATGAACAAACAAAATACAACTCACATAGATTTAAAGAAATTACCAGTAGGGATACAAGATAAAATTATCTATTAGCAGCTTTAATATAATCAAAACCGAAATATGATCCAAATTGAATTGATTAACGAAGTCTTTCCTTAAAATGTTTTGTTTCTCAAAGTAAATTATCAAATAGATATACCTTATTCAAGTGTTGTGCTATATAACCTCTTCCACAGCCAACATCCAAAGCAAGGGGGAAATCTCTAAAAAAAGATACACAGAAATTATGCATTGTCTGAAGTAATACAGCAAATAAAATAATTAAGAACTAATTTTTCTTTTTTTTTTTTTTAAGATTTATTTACTTATTTGAAAGGCAGAGTTACAGAGAGGCAGAGGCAGAGAGACAGAGAGAGAGGCCTTCCATCCACTGGTTCACTCCCCAGGTGGCCTCAAAGGCCAGAACTGGGCTGATCCGAAGCCAGGAGCCAGGTGCTTCTTCCTGGTCTCCCACATCGGTACAGGGGCGCAGGCAGTTGGGCTATCTTCTAGTGCTTTCCCAAGCCACAGCAGAGAGCTGGATGAGAAGAGGAGCAGCCGGGAGTAGAACCGGTACCCATATGGGATGCTGGTGCCACAGGTGGAGAATTAACCTACTGCGCCACAGCGCCACCTCCTAAACTACGTTTTTGTAATAATAGAATATTACTGCAATGATATTTAGATTAGCATTTTTAATAATTTAATTCCAAAACGTTAATGTTAGTTTAAGATATGCTTTTAGCCATAATCACAGATTCTTTCATGTATTTGACTGTTCTGCTTAGTGCTATAACAAAGCAGTTGTAAAATACAAATGCATTTATATTTAAGACTTCTCTTATGAAATCACAAATGATCTAAAATTTTAGTGAATGATTAAATAGCTATCTTTCAGATCTTTGAAATAATGTAACTAATGAAATAAATGAAATGCATTGCCTATTTGCAACAATGAAGCACCTTTTTTACCTTACAAAATTAACTCTTCCCAAGACTTGGAAACACATACATCCAAAATAAACTCATTCATTTGTAAGGATATATCTAAAATATGACTAAAACAGTTTGTTGATTTTATATTATTTTACATTTTCTCACTTGAGTATTTCTCCAAAAGTTCATTGTATGTTATTATGATAAATATCACTTACCTGGCTACGTCATATACACGGTCTGCGATGCGACTTCCAACCTAAAGGATTACAAGAGGCAAGGATGTATTTAAGTTAAGCTGAGTACATTTTTTTGTTTGAAAGGCAGAAATAACAAAGAGTTGGATCAGAAAGTACAGCAGCTGAGACTCAGACGGGTGTCTATACAAGATGCCAGCATTGCAGGCAGAGACCTAACCCTCCATGCCATAGCTCCGGACCTACACTTAATAGGTTTAACAAGGAAGCAGTACAGCAACATACAATAACCTATAGGTTACTTATGTTTCAACATGATGATAAGTACTTCCTTTACCCTTTTCCTATTTCACCACAGCAACTTTCTCCTCAAATCCAGGACAGAGTATAATAAAATATCCCCGGAAACAAATTGAGGCAAATAATTTAAGAAAGCAATTACACGAAATCAAGACTAACCATTCTCAAGATATTTAGCTTTTGGGGCTGGCGCTGTGGTACAGTGGGTTAATGCCCTGGCCTGAAGCGCCGGCATCCCATATGGGTGCCAGTTCTAGTCCCTGCTGCTCCTCTTCTGATCCAGCTCTCTGCTATGGCCTGGGATAGCAGTAGAAGATGGCCCAAATTTGAAAGTTCAGATCACAGGTATGTTTGCTTTTTGGGGTAAAGCAGGGTAAGAGCTCAGGTAGAGTCTTCTGCCAGAGGAATCCATTTTGCACATAATTCCTAATGTGACTAACTTCTGCATATTATAGAAAGAAATCTCATACACTCTATTTATTTATTCTAGATCTGCACATTGGCAAGGCCTCAGTCAAGTTGTAATGCAAGCACTGTTTTTTGGAGAAGAGAAGCTAGGACTTCACAAACCCTTCTGGAAGAAACCAGCAACTGGCAGGATCAGCATGCTACAGACACCATGCCTTACGGACAGCGTACAAAATATTTACTGGTAGTTAACTTTCTATCTCTGCAATAGACATTAAAAATCTCTGGGCAACTGTCTCATTCAAGGCTCCCTGAGAAAGATCCATTGTCAATTACGGGTCAGGCATAGGAGCTCAAAAAATTTTGTCACACTGGCTTAAAAGAGTTCTTACACTTGACTCCAATTTTGCTCCACTCCAGAAGAATCATTTATTGAGGGCTGAGATTGGTGATATGTCCAGAGAGCAGAGACCTTCAGTCCATAACCCACCTGGGCAGAAAGGACAAGGCCTCTCAAACTGGCACAAACAAGCCAGAGATCTGAATTTAATCTTCCCAAAACTTATATCAGATCACATCATTCCACTGCTTAAAGCCATTCAAGTACCTCAGCATCCTCTAAGAGCAGTGCTGTCCAAAAATAACAAAGCCATGTGCATAACTTAAAATTTCCCAGTAGCCAAGTTACATAAAAAAGGTAAAAAAAGAAACGAGAGAAATGAATTTTAATGTATTTTATCTAATCCGACACACTAAGGCTACCATTTCCACATGTAGTCAATACAAAAATTGTTATTGAGCTATTTGACAAATCTTTTTCATACCGAGTCCCTAAAATCCAGTGTGTATTTAATACTTAACAACACATCTCAATTGCATGAGCCACATTTCAAAAGCTGCCTATGGCCAACAGGTACCATTCTAGATGAACGACACAGGCAGGAAAGAAAATGCAAAGTCCTCATTCCACAGGTCCCTGAAGATTTGGGCCAATTCTGAGCCCCTCCACGATCGCCCTCCCTGGAGCTTCACTGCAGACCTCCACAAGATCTTTTCCACCTCAGCGGCTCGCTTTGCCTACAAGCCCTTTCACCGCCAATTTCTCAAGCGCCTCCTCTGCCCGACCATGGCGGTCACTAGACTTCGCTTCCCTTCCCTCACCTTACTCATACAATAAGATCACGTATCTCGTCTACGATCTCTCTCTCATCCCCAAACCCCAACGTATGAGGGCAGTGGTCTGGCTGCCCCGGTCGCAGTACTGAGTGAGTGAGAGAATGAATGAACAGAAAGCACATTACAAATATCAGAGTCCAGCATCTCTGCAGTCATATAGCAGAGGCCCAGAGAGGCACTGCTGCCGCTCAAGGTCAGCCGGCAAAAGGGCTTCGCTCCGGACGCGGACACAGGCTCGGAGCCGCCCCCTCCCAAGCAACCCGCGCGCTCACCTCCTCCTTCAGGTAGTCAAACTTGATCGGCTCAGGCTGCCGGGCCGCCCAGTTCTTCTGTTTCCTCTTCAATTCCCGATCGAAGATATTTAGGGCTCCGGGCGAAGTGCCGCCAGGGGAAGAGACGCCAGAAGCCACTGCCCTGCTTCGGCTCCGATTTTCTACAGAGATCCCCGCGGCCCGAGATCGCGGCCACAAGCGCCGCAGCCCAGCCCGCAGAAGCATCTCCAGCGGCTACGCCACTACTACTAGCCCGGGGAGGTTTTTCGTCGTGCGCACGCGCCGAAGCGACTTCCTCAACTACGGCGCTGACGAGAATTTAGCGGAAAGAAAAGCGGAAGTAATTTGGCCCAGTTCGCTTGCCGTTACGGCGGAGCGTCACCCGGAGGATTGTGGGTGTGGGTCACACGTGAGGCTTCGGGAGGCGTCTGAGGCGGTGAGTAGAAATGGTTTCGGGAAGAAGGGGTCCACAGTAGGTAGAACTTGTGTCCGATAGGGACTCCGGATTTGTGAGGATCTCGCTTTCTCTCCCTAGCCTTTCGGGCTTCACGCTTCAACTCTTGGTTCTCTTCAGGGCCGCTTCTCCAGGGACCCAGGCCATTATCTGCTCCCAACGTTTGGGAGTAAAGAAACTCAGGTATTTTCCACATTAGAGGATGACAGGGACGGCATGCGGCATAGGTGAAGTTGGGTTGCCTTCCCTTCTCTTCCAGTAGCTGACATTTATGGAACGCTTTCTTTCTAAACATTTACAATGCGTTATCTTAATTAGATGAGGTGGTGCCTGTCTCATAAGGCTGCTCGAATAATTAAATGCTGTAATATGCATGATGTACATAAATGCATCATGAAACTGGTGTTTCCTACTTAGTGTTTAAGAGGTTTTCAAAGTTAAGGAAAGCAGTTTTATTGTAAAACTGTACTTTAAAAATAGCCTGTTTTTTGAAAAAACAATACTGCCCTATTTGATCAGTTCTCTTTTGCTGTTAATAATCAGTGACTTTGGGCCGTTTGCAAAATTCGAACCCATAAGCTCTAAGCTATTAGGAACTATTTACAAGGGAACAATACTAATGTATGCCAATGTACATGTATATTCCAGTAGACTGTGGGGGAAGCTGTTCCTCTGGGCCTTAATCACTTCTAATATGAAAAATTATAGAAAAGAATGGTGTTTATTTTTGTTTTTTGACAGGCAGAGTTAGACAGTGAGAGGGAGAGACAGAGAGAAAGGTCTTCCTTCCTTTGGTTCACCCCCCGAATGGCCGCAATGGCCGGCGCTGCGCCGATCCGAAGCCAGGAGCCAGGTGCTTCTCCTGGTCTCCCATGCAGGTGCAGGGTCCAAGCACTTGGGCAATCCTCCACTGCACTCCCGGGCCACAGCAGAGAGCTGGACTGGAAGAGGAGCAACTGGGACAGAATCCGGCGCCCTGACCAGGACTAGAACCCGGTGTACCGGCGCCGCAAGGCGGAGGATTAGCCTAGTGAGCCGCGGCGCTGGCCAATTATTAACTGGAGTGACACTTTAGTGGTTTTTTTTTTTTTTTTGGAAGGATGGTTTGATTTAAAGCAAGAATGGCATGACCTAAACTTATATATGTTTTTGTCTTTTTAATTAGGTGACTAGCTTTGTAGAGCTAAAAGCTATTGGGAAGAACAGGAGGAAAGGATTAACAGAAATAATGGAACTGGAATTTGAAAAAGCAACTGAAAAGTTGAGGCTTGACGATATTTTAATTACATTAGCTTTTAACTTGCACCACATGCAATTACACAACTAGAAGTATAGAAATTTTAAGTGAATGCAGTGGTTAATAAACATTTGTTCCCTCCATAAAGCTGTAGCATTTTACTTGGTTTGCCTTATATTTGTTTTCTCCAAATGACCTATAACGGAAAGAGGATATTTTTATGTTTTTTAGCTTTTCTGCATTGACTCAGAATAAGTTGGGGAGATAAAATTATGTTATGTTAATTTTATCTTATATATACATTTTACCTAGAATATATTGTGAATTAATGTGTTTTTCAAACATATTTAATTATATTATTAACCATTTCTGTGATGTTTGTTTTGTTTTTTAGTATTTGGTTTCTTCACACGTTGTTTAGTATTAACATTTAAAAATGTCATCCAAACAAGAAATAATGAGTGACCAGCGGTTTAGGAGAGTTGCAAAAGACCCAAGATTTTGGGAAATGCCAGAAAAGGATCGAAAAGTCAAAATTGACAAGAGATTTCGAGCCATGTTTCATGACAAAAAGTTCAAGTTGAATTATGCTGTGGATAAAAGAGGACGCCCCATCAACCACAGTACGACAGAGGACTTGAAACGTTTCTATGACCTTTCAGATTCTGATTCTGATCTCTCTGATGAAGATAGCAAAGCATTAAGCCAAGAGAAAGGAAAGAAGAAAAAGCCTCAGACTAAAAAAGAAATAGATTCCAAAACTCTTGTTGAGAAGAAAAAGAAAAAAACCAAGAAGATTAATCAAAAGGATTCTGTAACTGAAAATGATGTAAATAATTCTGAAGGAATTCAGAAAATGAAAAATTCACATAAATCTAAGATAGATTCAAAAATAAGTCCTAAGAATAGTGAAGAATCTGTAAGAAAGAGTACTAAAGAGAAAAAAAATACTATTCAACATAGTAGAGACTCTTATTCCAAAGGAAAACTGAGGACAGTAGACTCAGGTGCATCAGAAATTGTGACATCTCCCAAGATCAAGTGTACCAAGACAAGATCAGGTTGGTTGGAAAGAATGAATTCTTTGATGTTTCATTATTACACTGCTCTGTTTTTTAAAAGTAAGCATATTAGTAAGTATTTTCTTAGTATATTGGGAATGCTTAATTGGAAATAGAAAGCTATGAAAGAAAAAAATACCATGTAATGATTTAGTTTTGATTTGGTGCTAGCAGACAGACATGAGTCCTAAACAATGATTTTGATTTGTGATGGGCACTAGTGAAAGCTAAATTCTCTAACCAGATAAAGTATTAGATGGTATCATATACAATGAGATGTGTCTGAAGACGGTATGTAGAATTGGGTACCTGTTCGTTAATTCATTCAACTACATACTTAGTAACTAACATGAAAGATAAACATGAATAAGGCATAGTCCCCCACTTCTAGGTTATTGCTAGTTTATATGATACTTTGGTACAAGTTAGAAAAAGCCATGCCTTCTGAACATAGAGCACTTCCACAACTGATGGTTTATTGAGAGGACAGCATTTTTGAGAAAAGGCTCAGATTATTTCTCCATAAGTCCTGCTCTGTGGTGCTTGGCTTGGTGAGTAGAAGTTGGCTTTGGTTTTAGTCCTTCTTGCTGCTTTGTAAATGCCTTTGTGGACATAACAACCTGCTAAACTCTGCAGAGGCTCTGTTCTAAAGTAGCACTTCTGATAGAAATGTGTAATTTGGGATTTTCTACTAACCATATTAATAAATGAAAAGAAACAGGTAACAGTAATTTTAATAATATCTTTATTTAACCCAGTATATCAAAAGTTTAGTTCAATTCAAAAATAATATTTAAGAATTAATAATGTATTTTGCACCCCATTTTCATACTGATCTCAAGTTGGACAAGCCCTGTTTCAAGGTCCCAATTGCCACATGTGGGTATTGGCTACCTTCTTGAACAGCATAGGTCTAAAGTGAAATAAATCAGAACCATAACACTATGCAGAATACTAAGAAGTGTCATGGTAGATGGTTAGCAGAGGGCTATAGAAATTTGGAGGAAGAAGTCATGCATGATGTGGTAATCAGAGAAAAATTCATAAGGGATATTTTGATTAGAGTTTGGAAAAAATGAAGTTTGACAGCTGAAGCATTCTACATGGAAAGAATTTGATTCATTTTTTAATCATTTATTTATTGAAAAGAAAAGGCAGGGAGACAGCTTCCATCTTCTGGTTCATTCCCCAAATGGCCACAACAACAAAGGTCCATACCTGGCTGAAGGAGGATGCCAGGAACTGCATCCAGGTCTCTCACGTGGCTGGCAGGAGCCCAGGTACTTGGGTCATCTTGTGCTGCCTTCCCAGGTACATTAGCAGGGAGCTAGAACGGAAGCGGATTAGTTGGGACTTGAGTCATCACTCTGATGTGGTATGCCAGTGTCAAGCAGCAGCTTAACCCTTTGCACCACAACTGTAAGCAAAGATGTGCTTGGATATTTTCAGAAGAAGTCATTAGTCTTTTTGGATTAGATAATAAGGTTTTGAAGGGGTAAAAGGGTAGCGGAGCTGGAAATGGTTATTTGGAACTAGGTAAGAAACACTTGCCTCTAGTTTGTATTATATATTTACTAAATTAAAATTATTAAAAGTTTGTGACACCTCTGGTAGCCAAGAAACTTTAAATGTTGATGCTGCTGATTGTTGATGCTATAACAGAAAATTGGTGGTAGTTCAGCTAGACAAAGGCTGGCTATGATTACAGGGGCCAAGATAGGTGGGCATCAGGAAAGCAGACTCATCTTAACAGGTAGAGATAACATAGGCTGTTTCAGACAATGAAGAGATTCTAACTAGTAGGAATCAAGAAGTTGGAGTGGTAGAGGGCAGGAGTTAGGAATGGGGTAAATGGAGATGCCATTGCATTTGTAGTGGAAACGGGCAGTAAACCTTATGATGAATGAGAAGCAATAGGAGTCTAATTACTGAAACTAGACAGACTACAAACTAGATTGGACTGAGAGTGGCTGCAAAGCTGATTTGACACTGACTTTGTGTAGTAAGTTACTATATCATCTTCTTATGTATTTGATTTCATCTACCTTGAGGAATGAGGCTGTATCAAAGATACAAAGTTTTATTTATTCAAAAGGCAGAGTTGCAAAGAGAGTCAAGAGACACAGAGAGAAAGGTGTTCAGTCTACTGGTTTACTCTCCGGATGGCCACAATGGCCATAGCTGGGCCAGGCTAAACCAGGAGCCAAGAGCTTCATCTGGGTCTGCACTGTGGGTACAGGGGCCCAAGCACTTTGGCCGTCTTCCACTGGTTTTCCCAGGCATGCTGTTAGGGAGCTGTATTGGCAGTGGAACAACCAGGACTCAAACCACCACCCACATGGGATGCCAGCATTGCAGGCAGCAGCTTAACCAGCAGGTCCCTGAAACTCAATTTTTTTTAAAGATTTATTTACTTATTTGAATGAGTTACACAGAGAGAGGAGAGGCAGAGAGAGAGAGAGAGAGTCTTCCATCCGATGGTTCACTCCCCAAATGGCCTCAATGTCTGGATCTGCACAAATCCGAAGCCAAGAGCTAGAAGCCTCCTCCAGG